AATATTTTATAAGTTACACTCATAAGGAAGGTAGCATACATCAACAAATTCAATGTTAATAATGCAATGGTTTTTATCAGATTTTTTGTTTCCCAAAATATGGCATGTTTCTCATCAGTAGTGGATTTAGAAGCAATTCAACATGCCTACTGACATTTCATAAATACCTATATTTAGTTATATTTCACATTTCTATTATGGAAAAGTGGCCTAATCCTTCCAAGCATAGTTTATAAAGTATTTCTGAAGTTAAACTTGCTATACTATGGAGAAAATTTAAAACTTAGTATCATAGAGTTCATGAGAAATACTAAAATACTGGTGCTGAGGTACATATAATGTATACACCAAGAGAGGTTTGGTGCAGAGACAGTCAATAGGTACCAATGTGTCAAGTGTGTAGCCCAATGTAGACCATGTGATTAGCACTTCCTTTTGGAGATGTAGCATGAAGACTGCCACACTGCTATGGCAGGCTTTATCTCTCACAGTCTGGGTATCCGAATCTGACTGTCAACTGGATAAAAATGATCAGTACAGCACAGATAAATTGACTGGGTCATCTGGTATTAAATGGTATACACAAACGCCTACATTCATCCATCCATCCATCCAGACTAAAATATTTTAATTACAATTTCTACTTACATCTTCACTCTGTATGCTTGGAGGAACGCATGATACAGTTCCATTTCTTGTTGCAAGAAGAACACAGCATGAGCCCACGCTCTCTTCTGATGAACAAATTCTACTTTGTTACGAGGCTCCTCCATCATCTTACTCACAGTTTGAGGCACACTGGGAGCAAAATTCTGTATTGCCAGTGACCCACGATGATATACATAGACCATAGTGTTCACGTTCTGCAAAGATAAATGTTTTGTTATGAAGGAGAGACTACATGCTTTGTTGAAGCAAGCAACTATACTAATGTTAGTATAGGTACCCTCAGGACTTACCCTAACACACAGTAAAAGCTTGGGAGACATGGAATGTGTCTCATGAGAAAACAAGATCTGTAATCATGGTGAAGACCACCTGTCCAGGGTATGGTTAACCTGGTATAACAACCCTGATCCTCTGCGTTAAGGGTTCATATGAGACCAGTTACATCAATCACAAAGAACTCACAAACCGGACACCAAGAAGAGCATTTCCACATTATGATGTCCTACATATGAATGACCAAGCAAACAAATGAAAACATTACACCTACCTTAATATTTTAATAATTCAGTCATATGAACAAAGTGAATAGAAAACATGCTTTTGATCAGTGTTCATTATGTTAGCCTGCTTCTCACTTTGATCCATGACGGATTTATGGAGGATACAGTGGCAGTAGAGATCTTTCTCTGAGAATGTGTTTCTTCCCGCCAAACTTAATTCCACCAATGACTCACGCTCATATACTACCAACACTGTTAAGTACAATAGGCCTAACTAATCAGCTCATTATCACAACCTCAGTCCTCAGCTGGGTGTCACCTCTGACATAACATCAGATAAAAAGTTATGTAAACTAAACAGAAACTAAAGTATTAAAAATATATTAAAATTAGCCTGCGGAAGGTAAATTTAAGGTTAGAACTAGGGCGGTATCTGATCGCCTTCGAAGCTACACATGTTCCACATGTAAATCGAGTACTCGCTAGGGAACGTAAAATGATATTTTAATCTTTTAATTATATTATATTGTGATTGACGGCTAATTTTAATATATTTTTAATACTATTTAAATAAATCACAATATGACGCATCATTAACTAAACAGAAACTAAAATAATCTCTCAACAATATCTGTGAATTGACTAAAGTAATCTCTCAACAATATCTGTGAATTGACAGTTAGTTCTCTTATTACACCAACATTACTATATCTGAGCAAAGCACAGAGTGAGGATGAATAATGGAAAAATATTAATATCAGATGAAATGTATTTTACGAAACAAACAGCATAAAATAAATGTGGAAATAATGACAGAAATAATTTTATGTAACACATTAAAACATATTGGAATAAACAAATTTAAAAAAATAAATTCTGCCAAGATAACAAAACAAGCTAGTAAAGGTATGCACAGTGTAACAATTATGGAGCATTTTAACAGAATTTGACTTTTGACCTTTGGAAATGGCACCAGGAGCATAAAGGTCTGGGGTGGTGTAACAGCATTCAGTGAGGGGCCACCGGAGGGGTGGTAACAGCACACTGACATAGTCACAAGCTATTGACAGGTGCTTGCAACAGTTTTTCTACATAACATTAGTACTGTCCAATCTCAATGAAAACTGAAATGTCTCAATGTTCAGAAAAATTATAAAATATCAAATGTAATCAAAATTGGTTTATCCATTCTTAAGTTGTTTCTTGTACGGGGACAGACCAACAGATGAACAGACAAATGGTTGGAGAAACTTTAATAGGTACTTTCAAGGTTGCAGACCTGCCCACAAATGATGAAACAATTTCATCTGATGGGAAGAAGGCACTTGGGATAGTTGAAGGATGATGATAAATATTTTATCTCAAATCAAGCCACATAGTAATAAACACTGACCTGGTTATTAAGGGTTTGTGGTACCCAACACTGGCATGCCTCCTTGCTTATGTCAAATGGCTGACCTGAAGAAAGCAGGAGTTCTTGTTCCTGAACTGGAATTCTAGTGTCACGTTCTATCCATGTTTGGAGTGTACTGACTGCTGTTGAATCATCGATCTCATAACTCAAATTCTGATATGATGGCACAGAGAAAACGTTTATAATCTATAATTAGGAAAAAAAAAAAACATTTGTATTATACAACAATAAAATATTGACAGTACTTTACAAATAAAACTTAAGTAACAAACCTTCTTGCTTAGAATATCTTCTATTAAATCAAATACAACAATTTGGAGTTCTTTGTTTCTGTTCAGGATACGTCCTCGTTTTGCTGCATCCCACTCGAGTAAAAGTTTCAGCCACTTCTCCACATAACATTTCAGACAACTGCCAACAGAAGAAATTAAAAATGCAATTTAATAGTCACTTGTGATGATGTAATTATAGAAAAGAATACAGCACTATATGAAAATGTCTCAGCATTTCAGAAAATAAAATTGAAATATAATATTGGAAATTACATACTAAATAATTTCTTTCATTTAACAATACTTTATCAACTGGTTCAAGGAGAATGAAATGAGTGAGCACAAAGCACACAGGTGTTAGGCATGGACGATAAGAGGATTCCCCTGAGGTCATTAAAAATAACGACGTTGAAGAAACAGCCACTAGACCATGCAGAGAGACCAAATAAGGAAAGATATACAAAAGAAGGGGGGATAAAGCAGTACACAGGGAAGCTTTGTCAAAATATGACTTGGAAATATCAGTGATTGATAATTAAGATGTAAAACTGGAGTTGGTAGTAGTACTGTTATAAATTCTGTACTATAGCACACTAACCCTAAATGATAGTAAGAAGGAATCCTATAAAACAGTTTACTTAGCAAAAATCCTAATTTAACTCCACTCCTTCTAAAGACAAATACTGAAAGGACAAGTAGTATAGACTTTTTTAAGGAAATCAATATATTTTTTAACACTTGTTCATAGTTTTCAACGCTGGAGTTCAGTGTGTATCTTTGGCTTCTGGGTGACAGCCATGTCCAATGTTTGGTGTTAACCAACATTTCAACAAATACTGCAGTTGCCACCCACCTTTAAAATGGGAACTACAACGTTTGCCAATGCAATGGTTAACACCAAGTGCAGCTCTCATCTGAAAGCCAGAGTTATACAAATTTTTTAAAATAATTCTTTAAAAATTATATTCTCCTGAAATCTTACAAAATGACCATTTTGCACCAAACTCTAGATAAAACAGCCCCCTGTAAGTTATGTTAGAAAAACTGAACAGAGGTAAAGGAGGGTATAGAAAAAACATAACTATATCAGTTTAACCACTTGTGGTTTAGATTACTCTCTGTTTGTTCAATCATTATTGCACTTCTAATATAAAATACATTCTGTATAACATATGCAAATTATTATGGATATACTATACATAGAAGTATGAAAACACCAGCTTTGTCACAAAAAAAATGCTGTTCACCAGACAACCTTTTGTGTGACAAGCTCAATGCACAAATGCTTATGTGGTAGACACTAGGTCACTCAATAACAACACTGGTAAGTAACAAGAAATGTACATCTCATCAGAGTAGGCTGTTATACACACATCTCCTCTAACTCTGCAATCAGTGTCTTTAATGGCACCTGCATTCATTAGTGTGTCTACCTATAATTTACATATTATGGATGTAATATTTCATACCTTCATAAACTGTGACAAAATTCTGTAAAAAATTCACCTTGAAATATGATTCTGAAGAAAAAGTTCTTTGCTGAATACAATAGTGCCATCTTCAGCCTTGTATGCACAGATGTCATCTGAAGACTTTTCCCTCACGTGAGTCATCCTAAAACCAGTTCGTCATGTTAACGATGTGTCCTTAAATCAGCACAAATTTTTCAGTCACAGTAATTTTTAAATAATTTTCAATGTGCCCATTCCAAATACACAAGGAGCTTCTGTTATTAGATGAGTAAAAAAATTGTCAGTGGAACCACGGTTCCGGAGAATTTGACGTAAATACGTCTATACGGAAAGGAAGTTTATATATTGGCTTTATTCTAAATATTTCCTTTATACATGCTTTACAATTGGGTAAAGTTTGATTAAGACTTTGCTTATTTAACTTGAATTAGTTACATGTAATGTAATGAAATGTAATGTAACGTTTCCTAGGTAACACAACAATGCCAAGTAAACAGATTACATTTCGTAGGTAACAATAATGCCGAGTAAACAGACGACGTTCCCTAGGTAACCATTGTTACACTTTTTCGTTCCCTTTTTTCGTTACACTTTTTTGCCGAATGACCCTTCCTTATAGACGTATTTACGTCAAAAAACACGTACTGAGTTTATACAGAGTACGCAGAATAAAACGCTAACTCAGAATTGTAACAATACTCATAACACCTTATGTTCAATTACTTCTGATTAATTAATTTTTAGCTTATTTATTAAGACTGTTTCAACTGTACAGATTATATTATCATTAAATAACATGGAAAGAGGAACCATATTATTGATTTGGTTCAGATTTAGAAGTCATAATGTATTTCAAGGTACTATCCTGGCATTTGTCTGGAGTGATTGAATGTCAAGGAAAAATATGGAAACCTGGTATCTTAAAAATACTACTACAAATAACTACTGTGAGGAGGCATCCACCAGTTAATTAATATATATAAGATAAATGTTCAGTGCCTTCAAGTTTTTTGTTATGAAGTCCTGCACAAAAAAGAAATCCATACATATAAAGAAGTGGTTTCAGTGTACCCATTGAATGGAATATTGTTTCCAAAAATAAATCACGCAAACCACCATTCCACAGCAATAAAGAAAGCTGAGTGTCCACTACAGAATGCAATACTTAACACTTAAATAGTGGCCAAACTCTGTGATGGAATATTATGACAAGTTATTAAAATAAAGGCCCATAGCTATTTTGCAGTACAGACCATGAAACAGGAGCCATGTTAGGTAAGAATGGACGAACACCTGTTATCACTTCATGTGAGACCAAACCAAGGCTCCAATAGTCTACTGAGTAGTTGTACCTGGAAGCAACAGTGATAATTAGCAACATGTAACTACATACAATCATTTGCAAAAGGACACATGGGTAAAGATTCAGGTTAGTAGAAATTAACATACGTTTTACTCATGAACAATTCTGGGGCCAAATACTGCAGGGTACCAACAAATGAAGTGCAGATGCTGCTTTGATCCAGTTCTTTGGCATATCCCAGGTCTATCAGTTTGTACACAATCTGAAAAATAATTATGTTAATAGCAGATCAACTGACCCAGTGATGATATGAGGGAGAATAATCACCTTAATTACACAGATGTGATCATGTGCTGGCCTATGAAAGTCATAAGGTTTTCACAGTGGTCTGTATCTAATTATTGCTACAATTTTTAGTAATGACACTGTGTTGTAGTGAACTGGTTTAAAGTTTTGGAGAAACTGATGTCTCAATCTGTGGGGTGAGGTAATGAAACAGTAACCTGGTACTGTTATTTATAGCTATGGGTCACAAAACAGTGGAGAATTACACTTGGAAATACAATACTGTATTCACACAAATCTCCCACTGGACTCTATCCTCAGAAAGCTAATTATCATCCTATATCAAATCTAAAACTTCTTGACGATGGTAAAGAGTCAATTGAATAAAAATTTACTTGGATATTATCCATCGTCTAGAAATAAAACGTAAAACGACGTTTCGGAGATGAGGCTCTATCTCCGTCTTCAGGTTCCTACTCAGTTGGGCCCACTAGATAGAGCTAATCCCTATCTCCGGACAAATTAAAAAGTGAAAGTCCCAGAATAAAAAGGCATAACCACACCATCAATCCGTGGGACGTAAAAGAATAAAAGAATAAATAGTAGAAAACAAAATTCATAAACACGAATAAAGCCAGGAGACAAAAACTCACAAAAGGTGGGAATAAATACACATGAATATTAACTTGAAACTCGATGCCCACCTTGGATTTCTTGAGAGATGACAGGTATCCAAATAGGAGATAAATCCAAACTAGGCTGGCTGATAGGATTGGCGAGTAGTGCCATGTGTGCCGCCTCCTTGAGTAGGAACCTGAAGACGGAGATAGAGCCTCATCTCCGAAACGTCGTTTTACGTTTTATTACTAGACGATGGATAATATCCACGTAAATTTTTATTCAATTAATTATCATCCTGTTTTCTCTTAGCTCTACCAATAAGTCTCTTCCCTTCAAGTTTGTACATTATCTGTTTCTCACATGTGCTCCATGGTCTTACCATCTCATCTGTATTTATTTAATCAACTTAGTAATGTTTATTAATATAAGGAAGCAGCACATGTGGCCTTCACAAAGCACTGAGCCAGATGCAAAGTGACATCTTTCTGATGTGGCTACCAATCATCAAGACAAAAGTTGACTATCTACAACACCATACTGCAGAACCTAAGTAATAGTTTACACTGCCACCTACCGACTACATGCCATCTCAGCAGCACGGAATGAAGTTACCTATGGGAGCCACTCATTACTGTATACACCATCAAATTTGTTTGGTTACACACCACATGGTACATTTTGCAGGAAAGTCAGTTACAACTAATATGAACTTACCCTATCTTCTTCTTGTTGCAGAACTATGTTTTCTGGCTTGAGATCTCTGTGAGTGATTTTCATGGAGTGTAAGTACTGAACTGCACTTTTCACATCTGATATCAGTGACCGAACTTCTGCTTCACACAGACCGCAGCAGTTTTCACTTCGGTTTAAAACCTGAAGAAGACAGTTTAATAAAAATCAATTTAACAAAATTCTACAATATATGTATACATGTCTACAGAAAACAAGTTACTGACCAAAAAAAAAGTAACATAATATTTAAACTGCCCTGATTTATGTGTCCTTTACAAAGTATTAAAGCACAGAAATAACCAAATAATATCAAATCTTACCTGTCTAAGATCACCTTTTGAACAAAATTCCATGCACATTAATGGAAGCTTTGAACGTAGGACTGCAAGATCTGGTGGTACTGCAATTGCTTTAACAACATTTGGGTGATTCAAACGCTGCATTATTTCCACCTCTTTGGACCATCTTTCTTTATGTTTCTCAGTCAAAATTGCATCTGTGCCTGTCCTACATTTTTTCAGAGCTGAAAATGATAACATTAAATGCACAAAAAAATCCTGTAATATGAAATATACTTTAAGTATAATGTTTTATTAGGACCATCATAATTAATTGATACATCATTTAATTGTACAAATGTACATTTGCTTTAGACAGAATGATGATTATATACAACATACAGTCTTATATATCACATTTGGTGAAATATTTGTGTATATATTATGACAACTTTATAATACTTATATATTTTTATTTACAATTACTATGTACAATATAGATTCAATTTACTGTGCAAAGAGCACTTTCTTAACCTACAAACAAAAAGGAAAGGCATTAGTACCTTCATAAGAAAGTAAAGTTATAAATTGAAAACTGATGGTAAAATGCTCAATATAAATCATGCCTGATGTGAGATAAGTTATGACCAACAGAACCAAAATATATACAACACAAATCAAGATGAGCCTGACATGAATGAAGCTGTACCTCACCAATCATTTCATCCTTTGTCTTGTGTCGCCATAAAGTGACCTGCCCAAAACCACCACTCCCAAGGACTCTCTCTCTCACCCAGTTTGCAACCTCCAATGGTTCATCAGCAGCCATTTTGGACATCTTAAATAAAACAGAAAGTAACCTAACCACAAAAGATCACCATCAGGATTGCTTCAAATAACTATTAGCCTCCCGAAATCAAATTTCTGATACATCAAAATTAGTATACAAAAACATAACAAACTGTCCTCATAATGTCCAATACTGGAAACCATTTTAACTGAAGTGCAGTTTGTCCATGATAATAGTCAGTATCAAGCCAACACATTACATTAAATTATGATTTGTACTGAAGATGAAAACAAATCCTGTTTTCAAAACATTGTATACATTTTAACCTTAGTGAAACATGTTAATATTTCAGAATAAAATAATAATTCTTAATTAAATATATACTTTATGAACAATAGTTAAATTGTGCATTGTTAATATAGGGGGGTCTATATGAGTATAATGTAGAAGTAACTGTATTAGTTCCTTAACAATTCTGATCAAATAATTTTATATAATCACTACCAATATCATATGATGTCAAAGTTGACAGAAATGAAACTTCTTCGTGGTGCACAGTTTTCTGATTTATTGCAGTATTACTGTTGCAAATCACACTGAAAGTACAAAGTTTGTAGCACTTAAAAAAATCTTCACAGGACTGAAGCCAAATTCTTACCAAATGCACCAATATAAAACCAACTGCCTGACTCCATACTCCTACCAAACCTCACCATAGCCTTGTTCACATTTCTTGCTATCAGAGTTGCCACTAAAAAAATTGCATTTCAATTTTTTCTGCATCACACAAACAATGAACTCATCCAGACATTGCTTAATATATGAGGAATAGATTGCTGCAAGTTCCACTTTTAATCAAAATGTAATTTCATAGAAAAAATATTGTTAGCTATGTAACCTGATGCACTCTTCAATTAGTTGTTCAACAGCAAAGATTCACTGTATTAGTTTATTATGGGATATATGATAATGTACAAGGTAAAATATCATGTCAGAACTACATTAGAAAAATTATGTGATTACAAGTAGACTATTTGATTAACATGATAACGTTTCCAGCAAATTTGTCTAAGTGACATGCCCACTATTTTAAATCTTTACTGCCATCCCACTGTGACAGGATACGATATTGTTGGAATTATAAGTAACTATTTTTATAGTGAAAAGCACAACAAAAACCACATTATATAACATGACCACAAGGCAAAATACATATCAGAAGAGGGATACAAGTTCTGTCACAGAGAGTTCATCAGAATATTCACCCTTTCCTCATATTTTGATCATTACATCTTACTGTAATCACATCAGATGAGACATAGATTTTTTTTAGTGTTCTGTCTGATGACAGGTCCATATGAACAGGATCTTTCCATCCTTTTCTCGGACTGGGACCTGTTCATATACGTTCTTGGCAGATGATCCAGAAGTGGTTTGCCATTGCCTTCTTCTGTGTGTGAGAGAACATGTGGGAGTGTGAACATATTTTCTAATTAGGTCGATGCAACTCTCAAACACTACATAATGAACCAGAATGGTTCCCCACCCTACTTCATTAATAAAGAGATTACGTTTATGTAAACAAACTAATGTAGACATGCAATACCAAATAAATTTTGGCTTCGGTTCTGTTTTGGAAGAACGATTAGGGATGCATATTTTATTAAATTACTCTCCGTGTCAATGCAAATGAAATGGCTGGCTTCGGTTCTGTTTTGGAAGATTAGGGATGCATATTTTATTAAATTCCTCTCCGTGTCAATGCAAATGAAATGGCACTAACTTTGGGACATGAATCGTTTATAAACCATAACCCATTAAACTGGTAAACGTCAGTAAAACGAAGTACGATAAAAGAACACGAAATATTATGACAATCTGAATTTTATCAATAATGTCACAAATGGATTTCGTACACCAAATTAATGCACAATACCTCAAGTGACGAGAATGTAAAATATGGTAAAACCAGTAATAGAGATAGGTTAAGGTCGTTACATTCGTATCAATTCTTTATTTAACTTTAATTACTTTGAAGATACATTTAAAAATTTAAACTTACAATTTCTCTCCTCAAATTAATTGCTTTCCTTAACACCTAAAACATTTCTTCAGTATATGCATGTACACTCTCCTTACAACATACATAACACTGGCTTATACAGCCCATACATAGAACGAACAGCTGTTTAAGCACGTTTACAAACTTCCAACAAGGTAACCAGATTACAACTTTCGTACTCTATGAAATGCAAAGCAACATTACAGACGTCAAAGAAAACCATAACGATTTGGGTGTTTTCAGAAACTTTACAAATTCCAATGTCACTGCTACTTAGATGAAAAACTTGCACATACAGTAGTCTCATAATTATTATTTGCTATATGATCTAGGAAGCCGGGAGTAAGAATAAATTTACAATCTCAATTACGGAATACAAGGAGATTGTAGAAACGAAGACGTGCTTCAAATAGCTAATCCAGCATTTACTACAATACAGATTACTAGATATCAATACAATGTCTTCAACTTGTAAAGGAGTTGGACTTGCTTGCAAAAACTAAAAAAAGGAGATTATTAAAAAACAAAATAAACACCTGCAAATATTCAATCCTATCTTCACTGTACCTCCTGAACACTGGAGGGAGGGGGAACATTAAAACTACAATTACATGCATATCATCCCATAATAAACACTAAAATGCTTTGATCTGATACTTGCTGTTATCTGCAATGTAGACTTATACAACTATCCAAAACTTGTCATAAACAGAAACAAACAGCTACAGCAAGTCTGCATTGCATACTAACTAGAACTCAAATTCCTTAAAGTCTTCCTTTATTTCAGTATCATGTATGTTTCTGAAATTCACATCTCAACATGAATTATCTGTCACTGGCTTGAGACTGTCCTGTTCTCATTTTCTTTAATGGAGTTGAATCAATTCGTCGAGTACTATGTCTTTCAATTCGTTTAGTTTTAAGGAACAACATTGTGTTGTTTCTTTTGCCATCTTCTGAACAAACCACAGGTGTTGCTGCATTGTCCACATCCATATGGCTTTGTCCTTGTCTCTGATCCTGTTCCTCCCCTTCATCACTTTCAGGATAGTTCACTAAACTTCGTTTATCACCTCCACCTAATTTGTCTGGGCTTGAATTTGTATCTGGCGAACTATGACCACTGCTATTTCCAACATTAGATTCTCCTGTCATGTCAGACTCTTCTTCTCCATAATCATCTTCCTCTGTACACGTGAAAACCAGGCCACCTTCAACTGTTTCTTCTTGTGACTGTATTTCTAAGGAAGAAGCTTCTACATCTGGAGCCATATCACACATACCATCCTCCTAAAAACAAAGTTACTGTGACTTTAAAACATACAAATAAAAAGGGAATGGCAGCGATTATGGCCGTTTTAGCTTGATGGCCACATAAGAAGTTTGGGCATCACAGGGAAGAGAAAGCACACATGAAAGTGGAGGTGTAAAGAACAATTTTGAAGCTGCTGTCTTGTCCTCTAACAGGAGAGAACTAAGAGACAACTTCCTGCAGTTAGTTTGTGCCTTTCAAATCCCCCACTAAAATAAGGTCTCAGTATTCTTCTAAACCCTTTTACATAATTATATCATTGATAAGGTTACATAATTCAACAGCATACCACAAGTTCTGCAATTCCAATCAGAAAGTCATCATATTTATAGAAACTTCATTCCATGTATCAGCCACAATGAAAGTGTCAAGTGGTGATGGGACCCACAGCAAATATTTTCAGGCTTATTCATATCTTGTTATGCTAGTCTGATCAATGTACAGTTCAATTTAATTTGTAAAAAATTATAATACAGTTACTATTGTGGTCAGTGACACACACTAATCACACTTTACCCTTGGAGAAAGAAGCCCTGGTACCCACAGGATAGGAGACTGGGTGGGCCCCAGAGTCAGTCTCAACACAAAGGCTAAAAGAAAAATTCTTTGCCCCTGCAAGGAATTGAAATCAAGGAGTCCATTCTGTGGTCAGTCACTACAATGACTTGAGCTACTCCAGTTCAAACTCCAAGATTCTCTACATCTTAGTGTCATGTCAATGGTTTACTGCCACAAATACATACATTTTAAGTTTCACTGGCAGGGGAAACAGCTCGTTTTTTTGTAAGATTTGAGGTTTTCACAGCAGTGAGTACGAAGATTTCTGTATATGAATTCATCGCCCCGATGACGGAGGCAGTATGACCTCTGAAACGTTGGTTAACATCGATCAGACTACACAGCGCAACAACCCAGAAGACAGAAATCTTCAGCTTGTTTTTTGTTTTGCAAACAACTGATTAAAAGAGTAAAATAACACACTACCACAAGCAATACTGTGTGGCTGAATTACTTTCTGTCCCTGATTCTGTGCTGATACAATGGAAACAAGAATCAGTCATCAATGTCTATGTAGTATTTACACAGAGTAACAGGATAATTCAATCTTACACAAAACTCTCTGACACTTGCAATTTTTACTCAGCACCTGTGTATCTGAAAAAGTGAAGCGTAATGCTCTGTTAACATAAAAAAGGAGAGATTAAATAACAAACAGAAAGTCATGTGACAGTACTTAACAAAATACCACGCAGATTTTCATTTCTAAAAATACTACATTAGCATTATAAAGCTGTGGTAACTACATGTACCACCTAATTTAACAACCAGTAACTGTGCATTTTATATGCAAAGGCCTTGCATGATTCTCAGTGTAAACAGGGATTATTTCCTTAAACAGCATTAACAATTTGATCTCTGTAATGGTGATGTGTTTGTGGTACAGACTGAATTTTTAAATAATATTTAGACAAGGTCCTCACATGTCTTGTAGGATAATATGTATTTTGAGGCACCAACCATCACTGAAAATGCAATCAATGACAAACTGCCAGTAACTCAGCAAGTGCTATTTTCTTTTGTACTACAAGGAGACAGCAACCATAACAAATGTGCATTGAATTCTGTATACAACACATGATGAATAAATTCACTTCCCTGTTCTATTCCTTCACAGAATGGAGGGCATTTTTAATAGAAGTGCATGTTACTAGGATAAAATGAATACAAAACAGACATGATAAGATACAATTCGTATTAGTGTGATAACTCGTGAATCTGGCAAAGACCCACCTATTTTACACACACTCAAAAACACTGTATTAAATTATGGCTCTCAGTAAACAGAAATAACCACAAAAAAGATAGTTGTTATAGAAGCAAAATGGAACAATGCATATTTTATATTATTACAGTAATAATCATCTACAATTGTCATGATCAACTTTAAGGACTCAACAGTACTGGCTAGAACACAGGTCACATGAATGATTTAATGAAACACGTACTGGCTAGAATGCAGGTCACATGAATGATTTAATGAAACATGGCAGCCACATCCCAGCAATTTTAACAGAAACACAGGATTCAAAGTTTATCCTGGAACCTAACTACCAACATGACAGAGGTCCAAAAGAAAATATCACAAAGATGGATCAATGGCTGCTAGCACTAAGCAACTTGGACCATGTGATTACTGACCACCTGAGTCTCCCCACTGTCATACTGGTTTGTTATTGGGCAAGAGATACCACTAATCGTTAATCCTAATGATGGAGGCAGTCTCTGAAACATTCAGTATTAAAGTCATTGTCAACATCCAACCACCTGAGAAGACTTCACTACATTCAGTTGCCATCAAAGCTTAAGATTTTATACCACCTAAGAAGAAGAAGAAGAAGAAAAAACCTTGTTAAGAAGGGAGTTACATAATTTTAGTATTTAAAACAATTTCTATCTGATACTGTTTTCTAGGGCCATTCCTAAGTTTCTAAATATCATTCTACTCTGATTTTTCAGACACAAGGTTTAATCAATTAACTGTGAACCTCGTGAGACTGATAAGAGTATACATTATATTATTAAATAGGGCTCTCAATAGAATATTAGTTTCTACAATGAAGATGGAGTAAACAAATTATTCCAAAATGTCTGTAACAAGACTATATAGTGTCACAACCCACAAGACCATAATTTAATTCTCACTGCTGTGAAAGCCACAAATCAAATTACTTTTAATTATTGAACTGACCATTATCATGGGTCCTGTTTCATCCAGAAACAGAATTCACATTAACCATGAAAGCCTGAAATCTTCAGTAATTTATCAATAGCTTGTTAACCTGTTAATGGAAACATAATGTCATCATAATAACTAATTAATTTCAAAATTAATAATAAGCATACCATTTCATTGCTTTTAAATAAAGAAACACATGGATCGTTCTTTCAAAACCAAGTCTGAAAAATATTGCATAACAGAAAACTGTCTGAGTAACTCACACTTAGAAATCTACGTTGAGGAACACCACCAAACCCATTAATTCAGTAAATGTTTTACTTGTGTATGTTTGCATCACTATCACTCTTGCTGTGTATATGAGGCAAAAGTGTACAATTGTCACATCTGAACTAAATTCCATTTTAATTATCAAATCTAAAACTTCTTGACGATGGTGAAGAGTCAATTGAATATCCAAGAAAATTTTTATTCAATTGTCCATTTTAATTGTTTTTATTTCTCACAATATAAGCTGTTAATCAGAATGCTAATGAAGAAAAGTATCTGTCAATGAAAAATAATTAACGCTGGTTCAGCTTCCAGAAGATTTGAACATTGAATATGCACCTTTTCCCCAACCTACATGACAAGTACAAAACTGGAGAAAATTGCATTGCAAGGCTATAAAAGTTGGCTTATGAACAAACACATACAGCATCTCACCATTATCCCATGTCTGGGATACCCTTCTTACTACAAATTGTCAGTAATACTTCCTGTGCCTGACACAAACATGAAATGCCAAGCATTTATTACTCTGCACTTTTCATGGCGATCTCAGTCATCAATTCATTGATGTCAAGTTTTATATTTTGTAGGTTATATGTTGTCTAGTGGGACATCACGCATATGCACCACAACAGTAGTAATAAGCTTGTGAACATAATGCCTGTAATTGCTCCTTAAGCTTACTTTATTTTATAGGGAAA